GGGAAGGGAAGGGAAGGGAAGGGAAGGGAAGGGAAGGGAAGGGAAGGAAGGAACGGAAATGAAATGAAACGAAACGAAGCGAAACGAAACGAAAGTAACAACAAGAACCTCAAAACCTCCACTTTTCACCGCTCCCCTAAAAGCGTTGGACCACGGTTCCCACCGGTCCAAGGCCACGGGTGGTGACCCTGGAGGGCGAGGTCATCGCGCCCAACGGGAACATGAGCTGCTTGGGCTTTTGGATTGGAGGATTCAGTTGGAGGAATGAGTGGAGCGAATGGCTAAAACGCTACTAGTAACAAGGGCACTACTACTGGTAGCTAGAAGCTACTGGTAACAAGGAATGAGTGGCTAATGAGTGGAGCTGTTGATGAAACGGAGACTTTGCAAGCCAAAACGTGCTGGGACTCATGCATGGCCAGGGTCTTTGTGTTTCCAAGGGAGCGGAAGGTTGATTTTTGCTCTTTTGGATTGTGGATGTTCGAACGATGCAAAGACCGGAAGTGACTCCAAGCCTCTATTGGACGTGCCATATTGGCATCAAGAACCATTTCCATCTTGATCATTCAGATCTGAACCTGTCTGAGGCTCACAGACCAATTTGTCCTTGCCTACTCAATTGCTTTAGATGTGACATCTCGGTGGCTTGAGACTCCACCAGCGCCCTCCACTCCGCCGTCCTCCAAGGTGTGAAGAGCTTGAGTGGCGGCAGGGTGGAGTTTGGCGGCGCTGAGCAGCTGCACGAGATACGAGAGAAGGCCACTACCCCTGCCATTGCCACTGCGACTACGACGACGACTACTACTGCTACTGCTACTGCTGCTGCTGCTGCTCCTGCTACTGCTACTGCTTCTGCTACTGCTACTCCTACTACTACTACTACTACTCCTACTGCTACTGCTACTACCACTACCACTACCACTACCACTACTACTACTACTACTACTACTACTATATTCTAGTACTAGTTTCTACTACTACTACTACCACTACTACTACTACTACTATTACTACTCCTACTCCTACTCCTACTCCCACTCCTACTGCTACTGCTACTGCTACTGCTGCTGCTGCTGCTCCTACTACTACTACTACTACTACTACTACTACTACTACTACTACTAAAAACTGTATACTAGTACTACTAGTACTAGTACTAGTATTAGTATACAGTAGTAGTAGTAGCAGCAGTAGCAGTAGTAGCAGTAGCAGTAGCAGTAGCAGTAGTAGGAGTAGTAGTAGTAGTAGGAGTAGCAGTAGCAGTAGCAGTAGTTACTACCACTAGTTACCACTACTTATTGTTTGACACGAAATGACACGAAAGATGGGATGCCCATACAATCACATCTGACGGTCTGATCTACGCCAGGAGAAGAAGCTGCACCAAGTGCTTCGAGACCTGGCGACTTTGGAGGAGGAATCCGCCCGAAAGCAGCAACAGGCGCATGCCGCGCCATGGCGCGGTCCGTCAGGTCGAGCGCAGCACCGAATAGGTGGGTCCTAGTCGGGTGCCGAGAGTGGAGGGGTTTGGGGTTTTGCAATTCTTTTGTCTCGGCATCCTGAGCCATTGACAATCTTCTAAAAGAAAGTTATTGAACAGTGTGTGGCACACAGACACTGTCTATGAAGGGGTGCCCAGGTCATCCTCTATGAAGGGGTGCCCAGGTCTCAACATGCCAGAACCTACACCAACCCAACCCCAAGATGGACCAAACCAAACGACACTTTTTGGAAGCCTCAGACGTTGGAGTTACGAGACATGCAGATCCCACAGCTGGCAGGTCACAGATCTCAAGGCCGAGGCGGGGTGGAGCAGCCAAGTCCAGCAACACTCTGATTCTTGTTTAGCAGTGTTCGACTGCTCAGCCCTCTGAACGAGATGCGCTGTCCAATATGGCTATCAAGTTTACAATCGTTTGCCTTTTTTCCAACTGGGTATACGTTGGTCTGCGAAACAGATGGGATGATGGACATACTGTCTCATATACCCAACCGATGACTCAGAAGAAGGCAGATGTCAGTGCTGTAAATGCAAATTGAAAGCACATGCAAACACCTCTGGCACCTGATCTCACGTCCCTCTTCGTTCTGGTCTGTCATCCGGAGAAAAGAATGGCAGCAGATTGTCCAACAAGACCAGAACGAAGAGGGAGTTTTGCTTCAACTGTGGCTTTGGCTCTCCCAGCTTCTCATAGCCCTTCGAAGTTCCTTCCGCACCTTGGACGTTCCCAGCATGGCCACTGCTGCCTCTCTGGATCGGGCAGAAAATGGTCAGGCGAGATGGACCGACGGAGTCGAAGGTATTCGAAGGTGCAAAGGAGTCAGCCTGCAGATGATCTTGACTTCCAGGAATCTGGTTGTGTTTCATGATTCATCATGACTCCTGCAGACGAGGGTCTTTGCAATCCTTGCTGTTGTGCGCAGGCCCTTCCTGTGGTTCAGGGCATTCCAGTTCAACCAGGCCCCGGGGTCATCGGCATTCGTCTGGAGCCCCCTGTGACACGGCTGGATGGATCTGACAGGGTTGGAGGGTGTCACGAGCATGAAGGACCTTTTGCAACGGTGTTCTGGGGTGACATGATCCACTCCGTCTCCACTTCCGTCCTGGATGGTGCGAAAATAAGACTACACCAAAAGGGAGGACATATAAGATGAATATCCATGTCCTGAACTCGTACAATGTTGATCAATCTGGGTCAAATGGTCAATGTGCCTTTGTGTTGATGGTGCATGGATGTATTTCAAAGCGAGTTGGTGGTCAATTTGGTTTCTTAAGAAGAGGCCTCCCTGGCCTCCCTATCCGAAGCACCAAACTTGGTGCATCTCCTCTAGTGGTTGCCGAGTCACTTGAACAACAACCATTTTGTGACTCAAAGGGCTCATCAGGATTTAGAGCACTGCAGACTGTATATAAATTTTGTGGCAGATATGAGTTCTCAGGCGCGTGACGCTCACTGCAACTTCGGAAAGCACATGTCATAGAACGGTGAGTAGTATTAGTCAGCTTTGGATGTTTTCTTTCAAATCCATTCAGAGCTTGTACCTCCTTGCGCGAGCTGAGGTTGCTAGCGTCACCCTTCTGGATCCTCACATCCAGGTCAAGCTGTCGAAATCACCTGGCAATCAGTGGATAGCTTACAGTAAATTAGGGAAATGGGCGGTCCATGGTACAGGGAGTCATGGCTTGACCAAAGGGGATCTGCAGAGAAAAGAGATCGACTTGGCTGGGAAGGGGACAGTATGGAACAGTGATGAAAAGTGATTGCCCGCAGCCAAGCTTTGTTCTGTGGAAGACTTGTATATATTCAGTTCATTGGATTTCAGACTTGTCAGGAAATTGAGGTCATGCGAGTGACCCAAATGATCCATTTAACAATCCTCTACTGTTTCCCTTGGTGGCTTTCGGGTTGTGTCCTCATCTTCTCATACGACACCTCTTTTGAAAACCATGGTCAAACATGCTTGAGTCTTGGTAAGATTCATGTGAACAATGAGCCCAGAACCACTTGTTTGTAGAGCGTGTGGAACAACATCATGCTCCAGAGGTCCATTCTTAGCAAACAGGTCAGGTTTTAGGAGGGGCTTTCGTTTTGCAATCTTTTTTTGTAGGCTTGTGCTAGAATGGGAAGCACTCCAATCAATGGGATTTTGTGTTAGAGATGTTTCTATTTTACCAGGGGTCTTTGCGGGGCCTTCCTATTCTAATAATGCACACCTATACAAATGGTTCCCTCCTCACCTGGCGCGGCTACTGCGTGCGCGTGCGGGGGGGTGCCCACGCAGCAGGTGGCTCTAAGCTACCGCACAGCAGTGGCCTGCTTCGCTGTGCTGGACAGCCGCTGAACACAGTAGGTCAAAAGGACAAGGATTCCCTCTTCTCCACCGGCAATTGTCCTTCCAGCAAAATAGGTCAATGCAGGAGTCCTTCGAGGGGTCCACCTATGGGTGAAATCACGCAAGTCGTTGTGAGTGTAGAGAATCAGTTCGGCTGGGCGAGGATGTTCCACACACCTGCGGAGGTCTGGGAAGAGTGGGATAATTCTGGTGAGTCATGGGTTTGGGCCGAAAGTGGAGGATAGTGAGCCATGCTCGCCAGATCCGCAGCGCTCTTTTCACTGTTCTGTGCAAGTTAGCACACCCAATACCCTACTAGTAAATTCAATGGTTGCCAGCGGCCTACAACCACACGATCCACAACCCCAGTCTTCACTTTCCCTACCCATCATGGCCACAGCTGCCCCGCCAATTGTGTGTCACCACCGGCACATCCGCAGACCGCCGCCACAGCGCCGTGCCGTGCCGGCGAGGATGTCGCCTTTACGGTCTTGAACGTGATGGCCGCCTACGCCACGGGGCTCAAGTGGAACTGGCGCCCTGGCCTTACTAGTAGTAACAAGTGCCACGCTAGTAGTAACAAGTGCCTTACTAGTAATAACAAGAAGCTATTAGAAACAAGTGCCTTACTACTAGGAGCAAGGACGCTACTAGGGGCTCCTCGCCTTACTACTAGGAGCAAGAAGCTACTAGGCTACTAGGCCCTGGCCGCAACGAGCTGAAGTTCTCCACAGATGTCGGAGACGTGACTCACGTGACCGGCGGCGTAGATGACGTGACCGGCCAGAAAAACACTTCAGGGGGAGACTTGCTCAGGTGGCAGCTCCTGTTCCTAGTCTTTCTTCTGGGCCCTTTGTGTGGACTTGTTGGTGCTTCCTGGCTGAATCGCTCACTCGCAGCTTGGCTCAGCTTGGAAGTGCCATTTTGGGCCGAGGGCCCTGGGTGATATTATGGAGTGGATGTGTCGAAAGAATCGACTATGACTAAAAATCATGTCTCACTTCCCACATCCGGGGCAGATTCCTCGAGCTGGAGAGTGGATGTGGAAAAGAGAAAGCTGTTGGAGCTGTCTAAACAGCGTCCGCTTTTGCAACTTGGTTTACTCCTTCCCATCCTTCACCTGTGTACCTGCTGTATATGACTTCGTGAACCTTTGTTTCGCGTAACATCCAAGTCTGGTGGTAAAAGCAGCCTAGGGTTGGGTAACTGTCGAATCTGATTCGAGACCACTGACACAATCATTGGCCGAACAGTCAAGACAGAGTCATGAGTCTTGGTGAAACAGCTGTTGTGTGACGTGGAATCGAGATGGGCATTGGTGAACTCAGGAACCAACCGGCTAGGAGCACGAATGAACAACCCCAATTACTTTTTGGGGCCAAACAGTTGGTTTGACAAAAAAAATATATATAGTATTACGTATATAAAAATACGTTCTCAAACAGTTGGACCTCTGAAGATAGGAGACTCTTCCGTCCAATTGACTGGGGCCGCAGGAGACGGACCATGTTCCCCACCCAAAGAACGGCCCAGTTCCACTGGCCTTTGGAGGTTGCAATCTACTTGGCCTTCTGTGTGGTGAAGACTGTGATACAGATCTATACAGCTGTCTTTAGCTTCTTTCTGCGCCTGGTCGAGGAAAGACGTTTTGCCACTCTTTGTTGACCTGAAAGGGAGATGTGTGCAGATACTAAGGGGATTGTGACTGTTTCTATGTACCAAGGGTCCACTGACACCCTGAATACAATCACAAAGGCAATTGAGACCCTCACATGTTAGGGTCCTCAGCACGGGCCAAACAGCTCCAAAGCTTCCGTTTGAATGTTCGAATGGCACCAATCAACCTGCATTTCAATGGATTCTTCGCCACATGCCACTCGTTCTGGTCAAAGCAGATGTATTCAGACCATGGTCTGGGCGCGTTCGTCCAAACCAGCGGACGAATGGAGCGGTCGTTCCGAGAGCCCAGTCGGGCGAGTCGGGCGAGCGGCTCGAGGACCGTACGGCCACGGGAAAGGAGAGCTGTCTTTGGAGCTGTTTACACCAGACCTTGGTCTTTCCCTTATATTCACCATAAAGACCTCCAAGTTTGAACCACAACATGGAATCCGACCAGCTGATCACCACCTGCTGGTTCCGGTCTGGGCTTCATGTCTGAGGTGGGCGATTCTCTTTGTGTTCCTACAGGTTTGGATCACGAAGATCGTTGCCTGGGCAGCAGAATCCGTGCTCGGCTCGGTCCGTTTTTCACCGAAGGGGCGGGGTAGCGCAATGGCGGACTCCAAGACGGACTCCAATGGCTGAAAGAAACAGATGAACGGACTAAGGTGCATGTTGTACATTGGAGGGTTTTTCTTTACTGTGTTGTACATAGGACGTCTATACGGGTGTGCGTTTTGTGCGCCTACGAAAACTGCGACTTTGGACAAGTTTTAGTACACATCAGACAGAAGACAACTAGCAAAGAAAGAACATCTTTTTACTCATGGACCATATCATACCGTATCCGACCGTATCGATTGATTTGCATGCGTTGGTCGAAGGCTCTCAACTGACCCCGTGGCTTAGCCGGACGGGTTGTACCTGAAATGCCATGGCCAGGTCTGCCTGCAAGACTGAACGCTTATAGAACGCTTCTTAAGCCTCGTGTTTGAACATTAGTATTATTGAGTGTTCACGTAGGTGAGTGACCAAGGTAGAACTTCAAAGATAGCGCCCTGATTGAGAGCTGAACCATCCAAATAGACTTGGGGATTGCCTGACGCTGATTGAAACTTGGAATTACGATTTTTGTCCTCGTTATAGGTTCTGCCCTAAGCTGATCCAACCGCTAACTTGGGAAGGCACTTTTCTTTCTTCCTACCATGCTCGTTTTTGTTTTTTTCCTCTCTCTTGACCCTTGTCCTCTATGTGTTCCCTCGATTTCGACCACCTGGTGCTGTGCGCGAAGACTCAGCGCTTTGCGATG